GGGTCTCTATAAGTATGAGTCTATTCAAAATACTTTCTAATTTCTTTTTCTAAAAACATTTTTTTAGATATTAGACTTAATAAAAGCTTCAAAGGAAGTTCAGCATTCCCGTATAACCCTCAGCTCCAATTTCCTTTTTGATTTCTTACTTTATTTGTGGGTTATTTAGAGGCATGTTAGTTTGCACATTTTTTTTCCTGATATCTTTTTGTAGTTAATTTTTAATTTAATTCCATTATCATCAGAGAACATACTTTGTGTGAGTTTAGTCCTTTTAAATTTATTGAGACTTGTTTTATGGCACAGAATATGATATATTTTGGTAAATGTTCCTTATGCACTTGAAAAGAATATGCATTCTGCTTTTTTCTTTTTTTTTGATGGTGCATTCTATAAATTTCAATTAGGTCAATTTGGTTGATAATTCCTTCCAATAGATAGTAAGAATTATATAATTCAGCGTGCTAATCATGAGAGCTGACAATCACTAGCATTATTAGTTCTCCTAATGTATATACATGCTTCTCTCTGGTTTTCTATTTTATTTTTGGTTTTCTATTTATTTTTTTATAGCCTTATTTAATGAATACCATTTACTCTAATCTGGCTGAAATCTCTTTTTGGAAGAGTATAGGATTGAAAACTAAAATAAAGATGATAGAACAATTTCACTGTGTGTAAAAAATACTCATTTGGGTATAATCAAGTGCCTGCATTCACTGTCAAGTGTGCCTTGAGCACATGATGGAGTAACACCTCCAGGGTTTTGAAAAGTAATGAATGCACCAGTGTTATTCTTAAAGCACTGTGATAGCGATCTTTACCATCTTCCAAGTATCATTATGGTGATGAAAACATTTTTCTCTATTACTGGTTGATTAGAAAGTCTTTGTGTATCTTTGCTGGAATATCATTTTAGGTGTTTTAAAACCCAGTTACTGTTGAGTCAATTCTGATTCATGGCAAGGTGTTTTAAAGTCTATTATTGTGTGTGTAACCCTTATTTATTCTTTTTTTTTTTTTCATAATTGCTTCAAGGGCTTCATATAAAGTTATGAAAGGGGAAGATGAAACTACAAAGTTGTCAAGGCAGAGGTAGACTTTTTAATAGATGGGAGGATTGAGTTAGTCACTGACTAAGATTCAAGCCTGAAAGGGAATCCACAAAAAATAGAATCAAAATTCAACTTTAAACCTAGGAAAAGGAAGGTAAACCTCTTTTATATCAGTTTTCTGTATGCAGTTGTGTCTCTCAGTGTGGGACAAACTAACATTTCAAGCATGGTTAAGTTATCAGAGCATATAAATGACTGTCAAAGAGCCAAACTTACATTTGTTTTGTTTTGTTTTGTTTTAGTCCTAATTAGTAATTACTTAATTACTTGCTATATGTTGACATCGTGAAACATAAGCTCGTAGTTCTGCCCCTTTGTTTTGGGTATGCTAATTTGTTGTAATTATGTGAAGCATAATTATAGAAAAAAAATTCTAGAGTTCTCCGTTGATAGTAAGTGCTATCATTAAATATGCAGTTTTTGCTAGAGCCTGTCCCATAGAGAGCTTTCTTTTTTTTTTCTTTTTAGTATATTGAGGTTATTATGTTTTCTATGATTTATTGTTTGGAACTCATCAGATTAAGTTTTAACAAATCATGGTAATTTACAATAATCTGTAAGAACATTAATACCAGAGGTAGGCAATTATTTTTGCTACATTACTTTGGCAAAACATATCAAACTAAATGATTCCTAAACTTATAGTGGTTAGTCTTCTATAAGTATAGGCATTTCAGCTATGTATTTCTGAAACCTTAATTATATAATTCTGTCTGATTTATTAGCAAAATAAATCTGCAAGCTTCCTGGCCCTACAGGTTTGGGGAGCCAGATGTCTCACAGGCTAGCACAGGAAGTCTCCAGCTTCACAGAAAGCAAAATACCATTTGGTCATTCGCTTATTCATTTACGTATCAAACATGTGTTCAGCACCTGCTGTGTGCTAGCTGAGGAGTCCTGTTGGCACATTAATCAAGTGCTCATCTGCTAACCCAGCCAAAAGGTCAGCGGCAGTTCACTCACCACCGCTCCGAGGGAAAAAGATGTGGCAATTCTACTCTGTCCTGTAGGGTTGCTATGAGTTGGAATCGACTCCGTGCAGGTGGGTTTTTCTAGTGTGCTAGATGGAGTCCCTGGGTGGCACAAACGGTTAAGTGCTCAACTCCTAACTGAAAGATTGGTGGTTCAAGTCCACTCAGAGGCACCTTGGAAGAAAGGCCGGTTGATCTGTTTCTAAAGGGTCAAGTCTTGCAAACCCTATGGAGTGCAGTTCTACTCTGCACACATGGGGTCTCCATGAGTGGGAATTGACTCAACAGTAACTTGTTTTTTAATCTATTTGAATATACTAAACATTCATTTTTTTTTTTAATTAAAAAGTTACCAAGACAAAAACCAAAAGGACAAAATACAAAAATAAACAGAATAGCTTTATGTGCTAGGTGGATACTATTGTAGCTGCAGGAGATAAAAGGTAGAAAAGAAACAGCTGCCTTTAAGGAACATATGTTGTTGCAGGGGAAGAAACCTGTATATAAACAATTGCAATACACTGTGCTGTAGGTACTGTCAAGAAGCATGTGCAAGGTGCCCTCTGACACAAAGGCAGGATAATCAACAAGCTGTGTCCTTGGTACAGCTTCTCCACTCTGGCTTCTGTGATGCTTCTTTCCTTCTTCCTGTCAGTGGCCTGAGTTAGGCAAGGGGAGAGCATTAGGAGAGGAAAATCAGCTTTAACTGAGCCAGAGGAGTAGAACTAAGGAGTTCTCAGGGCAAAAGTTCCCTCTGAACCTGTTGACCATACCTGTATGTAGCTCAAGGGCAAGCTCTGGAATGTCGGGGACTGAGTTGGAGCCCAGGTTCTCTGAGCTCCTGAGCTGAGAGTTAATGCAGGGAGAGGGGTCCCCCTGGCCTTGTAATCCACACCAGCTATGATGTTCATTCCTCCTGGTTATATCTGTCCCTCTCCACTCCTGCATTTTAGTAAGCTCAGGGACTTTATCTATTTTTTTTTTTGTTTGTTTGTTTTTGTTCTTTTAACCAATGACTTCAAGAATCAATTTTGTGGTGGGTACGGGGGCACTTAACACAGTATGAATTTATAGATGGCTTAGATTTGAAGCTCTTTTTGGCTAGATGCCAACACTTTAGTACTATGACAGCATTTTCTAAAGTATGATGGTAAGGTGGGTAAAACGAAGAAGAAAAAGATTACAAAGGAAAGTGGTTTCTTCTGAGTGAAGGAGGAGGGGGAAAGCGAATGGTTGGAAGGTAGAAACAGACTAGGAGGCAGCTATTGTTAAAGCATGCAGGATGCAGGAGAATTCCTTGGGATCATGAAATATTACGATTATGGATGGTCTGGTCAGGGAAGTGACTCAAAGCGTTGCTTGGCATTGACCAAAAAAAAAAAACCTGTTGCCGTCAAGTCGACTCATAGTGATCCTAAAGGACAGAGTAGAACTGCCCCATAGGGTTTCCAAGGAGCACCTGGTGGATTCGAACTGCCCAGCTTTTGGTTAGCAGCCATAGCTTTTAACCACTATGCCATCAGGGTTTCCAGGCATTGACAAGTGACTCTACTTGTGGATGAAGTTAAAGACCTTGGTAATATGTAGAATCCTTTGTATAGATTTAGGCTGTAAAAGTTTAGTGAGAATTAAGCTCATCGTTTATATGGTTTACTCCTGATTACGTCTCAGGATTTCATTATAATGTCTTTAGTCTCTAATTTAAAAACTTAACTCATAGATAGGAGTTCAGTGTGTGCTAGAATGTACACAGAAATACAACTCATTCTGAGGTCAAAGTTACATTAATTCATTATTTGTGAAATTGTAAGTTATGGTTGTACTATATCTGTTACTATCCCTAAGCATTCATATGGGTTAAAAGTGGCACATTACAGGGGTCTAGGGTCTTAAACGCTAGCAAGCGACCATCTAAGATGCATCAATTGGTCCCACCCCTCCTGGAGCAAAGGAGAATGAAGAACGCCAAAGACACAGGAAAATATTAGCCCAAGAGACAGAAAGTGTCACATAAACCAGAGACTCCATCAGCCTGAGACCAAAAGAACTAGATGGTGCCCAGCTACCACCAATGACCGCGCTAACAGGGAATACAACACAGAGTCCCTGATGGAGCAAGAGAAAAGTGGGGTATAGAGCGCAGATTCTCGTGAAGAAAAAAAAGACAGACTTAATGGTCTGACTGAGACTGGAGGGACCCCGGAAGACATGGCCCCTGGACTCTGTGTTAGCCCAAAACTAAAACCATTCCTGAGGCTAAGTCTTCAGACAAAGATTAGACTGGACTATGGGACATAAAATGATACTCGTGCAGAGTGTGCTTCTTAGCTTAAGTAGATACGTGAGACTTAAGTGGGCAGCTCCTGTCCGGAGGTGAGATGAGAAGGCAGAGAGGGTCAGGAGTTGGTTGAATGGACATGGGAAATCTGGGGTAGAAAGGAGGAGTGTGCTGCCACAGTATAGGGAGAGCCACTGGGGTCACATAACAATGTTTGTATAAATTTTTGTATGAGAAATTAACTTGAATTGTAAACTTTCTCTTAAAGCACGATTAAAAAAAAAGGTGGCACGCTACAATTGTCTGCTGCAGTGGACGTGATGTACTGTTAGTTCATTAATGATCACTGTTAGCCTCTGGCTTTTTAAATTGATCTAATGATGCGCAGGAGCCCTCGTGGTGCAGTGGTTAAACCTTTGGCTGCTAACCAAAAGGTCAGCAATTCAAATCCACTGGCCGCTCCTTGGAAACCCTGTAGGGCAGTTCTGCTCTGCCCTATAGGGTCACTATGAGTCGGAATCAATGCAATGGCAGCGAGTGTTTTTTGGTTTAGTGATGCACAGGTTTGAAGTGGAAAGTTTAGCTTCATTATTCTCCAGTGTACAAGCTCATTTTATTGACCTTTCTGTAAACTAGATGCTTTCTGATGCAGCACCTGGAAAACTGAGAATTGTCCATGGAGACGTGTTGACATTTAAGATAGAAAACGCTTTTCCAGGAAGTCTTAAAAGACAGTGGGAGGATGGTGAGTGCCTTCTCACGGGTTTTTCAATTTCCTTTTATAATTGTCGTGATTAAATATTTACGTAAAAAATTATCTGAGTAGAATTAAATCGGAAATGTGCATTGTAAATTTTTTCTGCTTTTCTACTTTCTTCCAAAATATGGACTCTAGTTACTTTTCTTAATTCATATTTGTTTGCCTTAGTTTTTCAAATGTTGTGGTTCTGTGCAAATAAACTGTCATTTTATGATACCGTATAACTGATGGGGTGAACTGTGAAGTGTTGCTTTTTCCAAATGGTGAGAAAAGAAGTGTTTTAATAAACCAAGCCACACCCAGGCCTTTTTAAATCTTTTTTTCCAGTGTTTCTCACACTCAGTGACCAGTCAAGGCACTCTTCCTTCACAGCCAGTGTTCATTGGGGCCCTGCTAGCGCCAGCCCTTTGGGATACATAGAAGCAGAGAGTGTGTCTCTTGCCTGTGAAACTCTCAGAACCAGTGGAGGCAGTGGTTTGATGCCCCCTCATCTGGCTCCTGCCGTGTTTCCTGTTCCCACAGCCGGGCTCCCTCAGAGCAGTCTGCACTCATGGCCTCTGTCTGCACCATGCCCTTCTGTCCTCAGCATGCTGCCTGCAGGCTTCTGCCCCGCCCCAGCCAGGTCACTGGCACCATGGCCTCCTCATTGCCTGTGTCACACCGTCATCAGTGGGGTTCTCAGGCATCATCTGACTCTGTTGTCCACTATCTTCCTGAAGATTTCTCTGCTCTTGTCTTCCCTGGTCCCTGCCCTCCTAGTTTCCTTCACATTGTTGTGAGCATTTTCTAACCGTTCTTTGCTGGCGATTATTTCCCCCCACCTGTTACATGTTGTTGTTTCTGAGAATTTCCTTTTGGAGCACCATCTCCTCTCATGCTACATATTTGTCTGGATTACTTGACTCCTCTGCTTTCCTCTGCCACCTGTATACTACTGGCAAGGAGCCATGGTGTTACACAGTTCAGTGCTTAGCTACTAACCTAAAGGTTGGTGGTGTGAACTCACCCAGCAGCTCCATGGGAGAAAGACCTGGCTATCTGCTTAAGATTACTGCTAAGAAAACCCTGTGGGGCAGTTCTGCTCTGTCGCATAGGATCACTATGAGTCGGAATTGACTCAGCTTCATCCAACAACATACTGCTGACACTCACATCTTTAGATAAAGACCAAACCCCCTTCCTGGGCATCTGGTCCTTGGATGTGCTTTCAATTCATCATGTCCAAAGCAAATTATCTTTTCCCTCAAACCAACTCTTTTTCATGTATTTTTCCTAAGCCAGAAATCTGAGGACTTTCACAGACTGACTGAACACTAGTTAGGTAGAATATTTTTCCTTAATAATTCAAACCTGATAGTTAGAAGAGATTGCTTTTGAAGAATAAATGGACTGGAAAATACTCAGCCATATCTTTATATATACTTTTGTTTGGTGCTATTGATACCCAGCTTGATTTTAGTCTTAACTAAAATTGTATTCAGAATACATTGATGAAATCATTTCGCTTTCATTTGCCCCTTGCCAAACAGATCCACCAAATATCCATATTATTGGAAATCTGCCTTTTAGTGTATCAACTCCACTGATTATCAAGTGGCTTGAAAATGTTTCCTGTCGAAATGGGCCTTTTGCTTATGGCAGAACCCAGATGACTTTGACTTTTCAAAAGGAAGTGGCAGAGGTAAGTTACAACTATTTTTCTGGCTATTTTGTCATGTGATCAAATTCCAAAACAATACTGCTTTATTATCACAGACTGTGTTTTCTAAGTTAATGCTCCATTACACACGCAGAAAAACCCAACAACAGCTCAACCAAGAATTAAACATGCAGTGATGATGACGGGAATCACTGCTGTAAGCTCTCCAGGAACAACATGAATGATGTGCCATCAGTCACGAAGGCCGTGTGGTGAATAGAGGGAAGCCCCAGCTAGAGAATGGACTAGAGAAAGATGATGCTGGCAATGCGTTAATAAATAGGGATTGAAGTGTGATGTGTTAAAATTGATACTCTGGACTTAATAGGATGTAGTTAAGGGATGTGATCATCAGTTTGGAGCTGAGAAGTAGGGGGGTTGGGCCTCATTACTCAGTATCATTTAGACTTTTTTCACTCACTCCCCAACCTTGGCTGGGCCTGCTGTGCTTGGCATTCCCATGGCAGGGGTTTTCCTGGTTCACTCTTTAGAAAGCACACCTCCAGGGTGGGCAAGGGCAGGTTTTGAGCTGTGGAGGCTTAAGGAGGGGATCTGTAGACTCTACATACTAAAAAAAAGGAAGTTTTATTATGACATATAAAAAGAGTGTGTCATGTAAAGCATATGTGCCTCCCTGGGTGGCCCAAGTGGTTAAGTAGTCAGCTACAAACCAAAAAATTGGCAGTTCAGATCCACCCAGAGGTGCCTTGGAAGACAGGCCTGGAAATCTGCTTCTGAAAGGCCACAGCCATGAAAACTGTATGGAGCGCAGTTCTCCTCTGCAACACATGGGATCGTCGTGAATCAGAATTGACTTGAAGAAACTGCTTTGTTTAATGTATATGTATGGCCTAATAAAAAGAACACAAGTATACTTACCACCCAGGTTAATAATTAAATCACCAATATCCGACACCTCTTATATGCCTCACTCTGATTGCATCCCCTATTCACACCCCTGCTACTAGGTAATCAGTACTCTCTTCTGTCCTACAAGGTTGCTATGAGTCAGAATTGACTGAAGGGCAACCGGTTTATTCTCTTGTATAGTTTTGTAACATGGATTTGTATCCATATAATTAATGTAGTTTAGTTTTGCCCACAAATAGATTCATACAGTTTGTCTTCTTTTTACCCTGAACATTATTTGTAGAATTTGCTCATGTTGCTCATAGCTGTAGTTTATATATTTACATTGCTGTATACTACCCGTTGTTTGGGAATTCCAGAACACTTAATTGTGCTCATGAGGAACCTATACATAGATCAAGAGGCAGTCGTTCAAACGGAACAAGGAGATACTGCATACTTTAAAGTCAGGAAAGGTGTGCATCAGGGTTGTATCCTTGCATCATCCTTATTCAATCTGTATGCTGAGCAAATGATCTGAGGAGCTGGACTATATGAAGAAGAGCAGGGCATCAGGATTGGAGGAAGACTCATTAACAACTTGCATTATGCAGATGACACAACCTTGCTTGCTGAAAGTGAAGAGGACTTGAAGCCCTTACTGATGAAGATCAAAGACCACAGCCTTCAGTATGGACTACACCTCAACGTAAAACAGAAATCTTCACAACTGGACCAATAAGCAACATCGTGATAAATGGAGAAAAGAGTGAAGTTGTCAAGAATTCCATTCTTCTTGGAACCACAATCAACACCCATGGAAGCAGCAGTCAAGAAATCAAAAGATGCATTGCATTGGGCAAATCTACTGCAAAAGACCTCTTTAAAGTGTTAAAAAGCAAAGATGTCACCTTGAAGACTAAGGTGCGCCTGGCCCAAGCCCTGGTGTTTTCAATTGCCTCATAGGCATGTGAAAGTTGGAAAATGAATAAGGAAGACTGAAGAATTGATGCCTTTGAACTGTGGTATTGGCAAAGAGTATTGAATATACCATGGACTACCAAAAGAACAAACAAATTTGTCTTTGAAGAAGTAGAACCAGAATGCTCCTTAGAAGCAAGGATGGCGAGACTGCATCTCACATACTTTGGACATGTTACCAGGAGGGACCAGTCCCTGGAGAAGGGTGTCATGCTTGGTAAAGTAGAGGGTCAGCAAAAAGAGAAAGACCCTCAACAAGATGGACTGACACTGTGGCTGCAACAATGGGCTCAAGCATAACAATGATTATGAGGATGGTGCAGGACCAGGCAGTGTTTCATTCTGTTGTAGATAGGGTCGCTATGAATTGGAACTGCCTCGATGGCACCTAACAACAACAACAACCCATTGTTTGAATATGTCAGAATTTACTCATTCATTCTCCTGTTTGGGATCCCGAACTGTTTTCAGTTTTGTTTTTTGTTTTTTTTTTTTCTGTTATGAGCAAAACTGTCATGAACATACTTTTGTTTATGTCAGCTGGGGCACATGGCAAGATTTCTCTAGGTATATACCCAGAAGTGGAAATACTGAATTGTAAGGCCTACAAATCTTCACCCTTGCTAGATAACACTAACTTGTTCTCTAAAGTCTTACATCTGTTTATATCCCCACCAGAGTGTATGTGACTTCATTTGCTTCATATTCTTACCACTACCTACTATCACCAGACTTGCACATTTTATTTATCTGAGGGTACTGGTATGTTATTGTGGTTTTACTTTGCCTTTCACTGGTTTTTAAGGAAATTGAGCATCATTTTATGTTTATTGGCCTTTAGATAACCTCTTTTTTATGAAATACTTGCCTTTTGCCCTGTTTTCTATTGAGTTGCTTCTCTTTTTCTTATTGATTTGGAGGAGTTCTTACATGTTCTTTATACGAGTCCTTTACTAAATGTGTTGCAAATTCCTTCTTCCACTCTGGCATGGTATTTTAGTCTTTCTACAGTATCTTTGAAGAGCAGACTTTCTTAAAGTTAAGCTTATCCTTTTTGTGTATTGTTTATAACCTGAGATTATGAAGATATTCTTCTATGTTATCTTCTGAAAGCTTTATTGTTTTACCTTTCTTTCCTTCTCCCTTCTCCCCTCTCTCCACTACTCTGCCCCACAAATTCTGGCTGCCTAAGCCTCCTGGGGTGCCCTGGTGGTGCAGTGGTTAAGCTCTTGGCTGCCTACTGGAAGGTCGGTGGTTTGAACCCACCAGTGGTCCCACAGTAGAAGAGACCTGATGACCTACTTCCATGCTTCCATACAGATTGTTGTTGTTATTGTTGTTAGGTGCCACAAAGTTGGCTCTGACTCATAGCGACCCTATGTACAACAGAACGAAACGCTGCCTGGTCTTGCCCTATCCTCACAATCGTTGTTAATGCTGAAGCCCATTGTTGCAGCCACTGTGTCAGTCCATCTCATTGAGGGTCTTCCTCTTTTTTGCTGACCCTCAGCTTTACCAAGTATGATATCCTTCTTCAGGGACTGATCCCTCCTAACAACATGTCCAAAGTTTGTGAGACATAGCCTCGCCATCCTTGCTTCTAAGGAGCATTCTGGTTGTACTTCTTTCAAGATGTATTTGTTCATTCTTTTGGCAGTCCATGGTGTATTCAGTATTCTTCTCCAGCACAACAATTCAAAGATGTCAGTTCTTCTGCAGTCTTCTTTATTCGTTGTCCAGCTTTCACATACATATGACGTGACTGAAAATACCATGGCTTGGGTCAGGCACACCGTAGTCTTCAAGGTGACATCTTTACTTTTCAACACTTTAAAGAGGTCTTTTGCAGCAGATTTGCCCAATGCAATGCATCTTTTGATTTCTTGACGGCTGCCTCCATGGGTGTTGATTGTGGAGCCAAGTACAATGAAATCCTTGACAACTTCAGTCTTTCCCGTTTATCATGATGTTGCTTATTGGTCCAGTTGTGAGGATTTTTGTTTTCTTTATGTTGAGGTGTAATCCATACTGAAGGCTGTGGTCTTT